TGGCTGGGTGGCTCACTTGGTTGGAGGGTTGTCCCATACACCAAAATGTTTCTGGTTCAATTCCAGGTCAGGGCACATACCTAAGTTTTAGGTTCAATCCCAGGTTGGTCTGGGGGTGTGCGGGAGGCAACTGATTGATGTGTGTGTGTGTATGTGTATGTGTGTGTTCTCTCTCTCTCTCTCTCTCTCTCCCTTCCTCTCTAAAAATATCAATAAACACATGTTCTTGGGTGAGGATTAACAAAAAAAGTATTTACAAACCAAGATCTGGTTGACAGTTATACTCATCATTACTGGGGTATTATTGTTTTTATGCTTTTTCAAAGAGACTCTTTTTTTAAAAAAAGTTTCAAAGTACTGGAAGAAATCAAAGTCTTTTCAGAGTTTTAGAGACATAGGTAATTTGAAGCATTATGATGATCAACAGAAGGTTGAGAACCACTGTCTAAGGCAGTGATGGCGAACCTATGACACGCTTGTCAGAGGTGACACGCGAACTCATTTTTTTTGGTTGATTTTTCTTTGTTAAATGGCATTTAAATATATAAAATAAATATCAAAAATATAAGTCTTTGTTTTACTATGGTTGCAAATATCAAAAAATTTCTATATGTGACACGGCACCAGAGTTAAGTTAGGGTTTTTCAAAATGCTGACACGCTGAGCTCAAAAGGTTCGCCATCACTGGTATAGGGCCTACCCCCACTGAATTGTCGCCTCTATTTACAGTAGCAGTTAACAGGCACATTTCCAAATCCTTTTCAGCCCTTTGGCAGTGTTGTACTTAGTGGTCATTGGTAGTGGAGAATGAGTCTCAAAATTCAAATGTGTTAAAAACTACTTAATGTCCTCAATGTCCCAACTGAAAGTCTGTTTAGGGATCATTTCTCCAGAAAGTAAGTTATTGGAGCAAATAAGCATGGAAACCATTCTAAAGATGTCATTTTATGCAGTTAAGATGTGAACAATTTAAATTCCAAATTATTAAATCCTAATAACTTTAGAATGTGATATTGAGTTTTAAATCATGATAAAAACTTTGAATTTTCTATTATAAATTTTATTTATATAACAAACAAAATGACTTCTCTTAAGAGTTTTATTTCATTATCTTAATAGTTTTGTTTTCATTCATAGATACAATGCCTTATCTTTCTAAAAGTATTAATAATTTTTGAATATTTCTTTTGCTCTCTGCTTGGTTTATTAGTTTTAGTTTCCAGTTCTGAAGTTAAAATTTTTTTTCAAGTGTTTGGTGGTCTTTGGTTATCTATAATGTAAAAGCCTAAGCGATCGAATGACCAAAAGACCGAATGACTAGTTGTCAGGTTGCTATGATGTGCACTGACCACCAGGGGGCAGAAAATGACCAAACGACCGAATGACTGGTTGACAGGTTGCTATGATGTGCATTGACCACCAGGGGGAAGACGCTCAATGCAGGAGCTGCCCCCTGGTGGTCAGTGTGTTCCCATAGCCAACCTCCCGTGGTCCCTCCCCTGCCCCCTGCCCCCAGCCAGCTGGCCCTGATCGCCCCAATAGGGACTGGGCAAGAGAACCCCAATCGGCCCTGATTGCCAGCCAGACCGAGGGACCCCACCCATGCTGTGGTCCCTCCCCTCCCCACCCCCCCAGCCAGCTGGCCCTGATTGCCCCAATAGGGACTGGGCGAGAGAACCCCAGTTGGCCCTGATTGCCAGCCAGGCTGAGGGACCCCACC